AATGATTCTATGATTCTATGATTTAAAGCATAAAGGAATGGTTTTCCCTTCCACAGGCCTCGAGATCGGTAACAGAGCCATGGCCAAGTCTCTGTTCCCCTGCTCCTATCTCATCGTCCAGATTTAACTATAGTTTAAGCTCATTTTCAGCAGGGGAGGCAAAGGCAGCTCACTTCGTCCAGTGTCACCAAGAGCCACATCCTCCCTCCTGAGTGCCCCTTCTCTGCCACACTCACTCCTGACAGCTGGAGAAAAAAGGTCAGACATTCCCTCCAGTCCTCCATCTGCTGGAAACTTGTAATTAAGTGCGGTGAAAGGAGGGGGGAAAAAAAAAAAAGTGGGAGAAAAAGCCAAAACCTCTCCTTTCTGCTTCTGTCTGGAAGGACCAAGGCAGCATTTGGTGCCAGCGGAGGCTTCAAATGCTCTGGGGCAATATCCAGCTACTCTGAAGAGTCCTCCCAGACTGCTGATGTGCTCAGGTCCTGGGAAGCACAGCAGCACAAAAGCTGTGGCTGTTCATAGTTACACACTAGAGCCTGCTGGGAAAGTCCAGGCTGCTCTCTGCTGAACACCCCACCCCAAACTGAAATATTTTAGAACCAAACCAACTCCACTCACTTGTTGCTCAGGATTGTTTCCCTATTTCTGCAGCGCTCCATCTGCACAACCTGACACAAAAGCAGATGGGAGAAGGTAGCTTAAGAGAAGTTGTTTCTCCATACTCTGCTATGTTTCAGGGCTTCTCCAAGCCCACCTTTCAGCTTGTGGGAAGTGAGCATGAAGTCCTGCACCACAGAGAGTTATTTACCTACAGCCACCCCACAAACACCCAATGGAGTGAGCAAACTCCACCATCCCCAGAGACACTGCAGGGTTTTTTTTGAGCAAAATACAAGCCTACCTTATCTTAGTGCACTCTTCAAGCCTTCAAAAGGGAACGCCTCTTTCACTGGCTGCATAGCAATATTTATTTCATGTTAATGTATTAGAAGAAAAGTTATACTTTCTTCACTCTTGTACATGGAGAGGGACGGCAAGTTAGCGTGGGTGGGCAGGGATAGTGGAAAAGCAAAGGCAGCAAAAAAAAAAGCAGTATTTTCCAAGCTCAGATTCAGTATTTCTTAGGAAACGTGGGAGGGGAGATTGAAAAGGAGGTGGAAGAAGGAGGCAACTTCACTATATGGCAATATTTCCATGAAAATGTGAAAATTTAATAGATCCTTACTCATATTCCCCTCCACCATGCTATAGAAAGCATTAATTAAAGCCAGTTATTCCCAAGCATATATGTCTTGCAGGTGAAGTCTGCTCTGTTTTTTTTTTTTAGCAAAATAGATAGACCTCTGTTTATCAGGAAAGATTCTGTTTCTCTGATACCACCAACACTCCACCAAGGCAACTCAGAGATCTTAGGGTCACACGCAGTACAGAATCACGTACATCTGACAAATGCAATACAGCACACTGGGCTGTACCTTACAGTCACATTTCCCTCCCAGGACTAATCACAAGATGAGCAAAATGTGAGGCAAAGGGAATTTTCCTGACCCAAAATACTGAACACAAGACCTGCTAAGTGCACAAGGTTAAAGCTTGCAGACAAACCCAGCAAGACACCAGAGTAAGTACAAGTCACAACTCACTTGCCGTTAATGACTCCATCAGGATTAAGCATGGGAACAATCTTGAAGATGAAACATTTCCTCAGGAGATCAGCAATGGGATCGCTGCTCACAAGGAACTCCAGGGTCCCCTTCATGACCCAGCTGGCATTGCTCTCACCAGGGTGAACACGAGCCATAAGAAACACATAAGGACGATTGCCTGGAAAACAAAGCAAAAAAAATCCTAGACAAGACTTCTTATTGCATAACAACTCTGAAAATAGGTTTTATTCCTTTCGGAGATCACAACCTGAGACGTATCACAGTAAAAATACATCCCTAAATAATCCTGACATTTCCTGACAGTGCTGTTTGCCAGTTGATCCCAGGTTTTGTCATTGGAAACAGCAGGGACTAGTTTAATCCTTACCCTTTTTCTTGTCTGTTCTATGATACTTTACAGCTATTTACATGCACCATTAGAGAGCATTTTGCATGTGCAGATTACTGCCTCTCAAAATAGCACCAGCATATTGTTTGGCAACTCTTGAAAGCTTGATCTTATCAAACTTCACTTAGGCTTAGAAGGCACCTAGAAATAATTTAATTTTTTAAGGTCCTGCTCAACTTTCAGTATGTGACCGTGAACAGTTAAGAACTTTCCAAATCTCTGAGCAGATCTGTCCACCCATAAGGGCTCCAAGGATGTGCAAGCTGTCTGCTCTCTAGCAGTAACATGTGTTGTAGGGTCAGAATCATAACTAATGAAGCTAAAAGTATATATTAATATCCCTTTTTTTTTTAATTATATCAACCAGATAAGCTGCAGAAGTAGAGTACTTAAAAATAGCTATCATTTCATATCCATCCAACAAGAGGTAGAAATAAAGTGCATAGCTAAAACAGGCTGTTGCTTTTGGTGGAAAGTTTTCAGTTTTATATCATATAAATGCACACTCCAATTGGTAAAACTGATTTTCAGAATGCAGCTAGAAGGGTTCAGCTGTTTCTAGCAATACATTTGGCATGGGAGACAAGCTGTGGGAATTTGGGGTAGAGGAGAGGGTTTGGGGGGTTTCTTTTTAAAAAGAAATAATCAAAGTCTTACTAAACAGTTCATTAATAAGCTCTGTTGAACCTGTTTCAAAGTCAACTTTCAATCTAACAGACAAAGTTTCCCTGTTATCAGATATATTATTTGCTGTTCCTGTGAAAAAGCACCCACATTTGGTCTAGTTATAAGTCTCCAAAAACTCTCAGTATACATATGCTTAGAAAAGACCAAGATTGACAGCAGATTCTTTGAAGATCCCATCTGTGCTGAGCATACTCTAAGGACGGGCCAAGGAAATAGGAGGAGGCAGAGGGAGACAACTACCAGGGCACAGAAAATAAAGACAAAGGACAAAGCAGTTATCTGTCTTAAAATGATCCTTTTGTGAGCATTCACAATCTCAGGCTATTATGACACCTCAACCTGACAGATTTACTTCAGTGACACCATTAACTGTCAGGGCATCACGGTGATGCCAGGAGAGGTTTGTCCTGCTCCACCAGGCAACATCAGAGCTCAGGCTCTGTTCCACTGAGTGAATGGAGGGACCCCAGCTGAGAGGACTGGAAGTGGTAACTGGAAAGAAAACAAAACTAAAGGCATCGTCTGAGTGCCCTTATGATCAAAAGCTGACTAAGCAAGTTATACACCTTAGCTCCTAAAGCTGTCTTTCTGTTTCCAAATGCTTTACAAACCATTAATCAATTAAGGTGAAACAGAGAGGTGGAACATCATGATGAAAAACAGTCAAGGAATATGGAGTCATTTTTCACCTTAGCTATATATTCCACACGGTTCTGCTCAATATGTACATTACAATACAATTTAGTTACATCTTTCAGGGCTGCACTCAGATTTGGACACAATCCCCCCTCTGCATTTCCATGCTTTCCTCTTAAGCAGTTGGTGGGCACTAGAAAAGTGAACTGTATTCTCAGCTCAGAGCTCATGCAGAGCAGTCATATATTCTGGTCCAGTAAAGCAACTGCAACTCTGTTTCTCAATAGTCATATATTACTCTTTTATCATTCTTACACCTCACCTTACTGTGAGGTTAGTGTATTTTGATCCATGTGTCTACACAAGTGTCTAAAGCATTTACAGAGTGTAAAAGCTTCCTTTGGCTCCTACAGAACTACTAGCCATGCTGATTTTTTTCCCCCCTCAAAATCAGAGTACACATTTTCTATTCTGTTCCAGCTAGTTGTGCATTAGAGTCTACCTTAGTAATGCTTTAAAATAACAGCAAGCAAAAACTAGCTTTCACAAAGACATCAGCTGCATTTTGTCATTTCCAAACATTTTCTTCTCTCTCCCATCACCATGATTTAGTGCTGTTTTGCAGGCTCGTTGCTGAGCTAAACTTACGGGACTGTGCTGCTGTAGCTGACAATGAGGCTCTTGAGGACTCCTAATGGACAACAGCTGTAAACAGCACAAAGCAAAAGAGACCCAGTTCTCTTTTGCAATAGATGAATACAGCTCTAAGCACCCTTATCTCTTTTGTATACTGGGAGAGAGCACATCATCTTGACTGAGAGGTTCTTTCTTCAAGATAAGAAAAAGAAACCTTAAGCAAGATCTTTTTAATCCCAAAAACCCAGGAAAGTTTGCCATAATTCTGCTCATTGCAAGTAGCATGGGTCTGACAGAGACCTGAGCTCCGTTCTTCCTCTCAAGTCTGGTTGAAGTCAGGCTTGTCTTAGATTCAACATGAAAAAAGCTTCTGGAGTTTCCATATGTTAAAACCCAGGAAAGGGGGTGTGGGAGAAGAGACCAGACAGAGATCATCTGTATGGTTTCACTGTGGACAGCAATGGACCTACATAGCCTGTAGGTCCAGCAAAGGAAACGTCCCTATTGCAGCTGAAGCTCCCTTTGTAAGCTCCCCTCCTGACAAGCCCATCCACAGCTCTGACATCACATCCACAGGAGAGCCATAACAAAGGTACGTACCAGCAAGGAACCCACAGAGCTTGGTAGCTGCCCATTCCCTTCAGGGAAGCCATCACAGCCAAATCCCATAGCCAAGCACTGTGCTCCCCAAGACTGCACCCAGCATGAAGACTAATGAAGCAGCAAACAGAGCAAAGAGTTGATGACAGGGCCATAAAACTTGCTACCCTTGAAACACCTAGGAAACAAAGATTTGACTCTGGCCAGCAGGAGTTACTCAGTTCTATGCTTTACAGCATATCCAGTTCCTTACCTGCCTTGAAATTATTGTGCTAACTATGATAAATGTTAGAGCTCATGCAAGCAGTGACAGCAGCACTGGCCAGCCACACTCAGCACTCCAAACGGTAGGCACCACTCAGGATTTCTGCACTCAATTCAGCTGCTCCACTTCATTCCTGACTTCCAACATCCCCGTGACTGCAGTCCTGATCAGACCACTTCAGGGCTACCCAGTATAGCTTGCTGGTTCACACTGGTGGCCAGCTGCCCTTCTCTCTGTGCTATTTAAGAGCTTTTTTTGTACTTACCCCTGTGCCTCACTAATCTAACTTCAGGACACAGGTTTTGTCACATCTCATATATATATGAAATATAGATACAGATATATATCTCATATATATACACACATATATATATCACATATATATCTTTGTAGGCCCCAAACTGACTTTAAATCTTCAAAATCCTCAGGCCAACACTTTGGCAGATCCTCCCCAAATTCTGGGGAAGCTGCCAGAAACCTCAGGTTAACCGTTTATCTCTGCAAAGCCCATGTGACACAAACTTCTCTGGGAATGTAAATAATAAAAAGAGAAAGCCAAAAGGAGCCTCTTCATGCTACATAAAGCCTTATCCAACATATCACATCTCATTACACTGTGTTACATTTCAACATGCCCAGAATATAACATGGCACCAACAATACCCGAGGTGAGAGACGAAAGCATCACTGATTCCTCCTCAAAACTTAGAGCAAATCCCCTCTGAGTAATAATTCTACTAATGTATCACTTCCTTCCCGTCTCCCCTTCTCTTCACTCAGTTTGACTGTGGATATATGCATAAAAATAAGAGCTTTGTTCTTCCAGTACTGATAACTTGCTGCTTAATCTCCTGCCTGTTATTAAGACTCCTTTTCTAGTCATGTCATCACCCAGGATCACTAAGAGGTGACTGATATCACTAATCGTGACATCAGCTGGGGGAAGAGCAGCCTAAAAGCAATGAACAAAAACTCCACTAACACAGCAGTGTCCCTCATCAAGAGGAGCACTGAAGGGAAATGAAATGCAGTTCCAGGCTCTGTGACCTGGGTTGGTGTTCTAAATTATTTCAAGCTGAGATTTGAGCCATGCCATTTGTAAAGGGACAGGGCATTGAAACAACACAGGGTTAGGATTTTATAAGGAGTCAAGGGGAATTATTTACACAGCATGTGAGAAAGTCAACCTAGATCCAGGTCTTGACTGGAATTTTTCTGGCTGTGCTTCTACATACCTCTCTAACCCAAGCCCAGGGCCATTGAGACATTATTTTTTTCCCCTTATACATCATGACTTCATCATGAGCATTACACAAATCAAATGGTCAAGTTTACCCCAGGACATAGTAGACACACCAATAAATCTAAACTCTGTCTTCCAGCTTAATTAGGTGTGGCCACTACAAGGTATTCTGTGAGTCAAATGATGGGTAAACAAGGGCATGACCACAGAGCTCTCCCATGCCTGTCACAGCTGCATGCTGTCCTGGACACATCTGAGATGCCCAAGGCTGCATAGTTTCACAAAGCCAGAGAAGAGACAGGATATGGTGTGATGTACAACGAATATATTAAAATGTGTTTGTAAAAAGCATCAAATACTGAGATCACAGAAAGGATGAGACTGATCTAAGGCAGAATCTGTGTCAGATGCTTTACTCCCCTCCTAAACTTTTCCACTAGTTGTCAGTCTTTCAGTTGTGTTAAGAAAGGATAATTCTTTCCTCATCTCCCCCAACTCCAACACCGTTGTCTCCTTGCTGACTCTGTTTTTAGCTAAATGCTCCCAAAGCAGACACATCTTAAGACAGAGGTAAAATACACAGCCTGGCAGGATCAGCTGTTGTTTTCCAGAATTATCAATGAGCTATTCCTTTCTTAAAGAGGTCTATACCATATGTACTATGACTGTTACCTATGGCAAAGAACTGAACACAACAAATCA